CCCCCCCCCCCCCCCCCCCCCCACATGGATGTTGGTTCCAGGTGGCTTGATTTTGGATTGTAGTTTACTTACCAATGGTATGATCCTCTTTCCTACCCCCCCCACATGGATGTTGGTTCCAGGTGGCTTGATTTTGGATTGTAGTTTACTTACCAATGGTATGATCCTCTTTCCTACCCCCCACATGGATGTTGGTTCCAGGTGGCTTGATTTTGGATTGTAGTTGACTTACCAATGGTATGATCCTCATCCTACCCACCACATGGATGTTAGTTCCTGGTAGTTGACTTGCTGTATACATTGTATCGTGCCCTAGCCACTCTACACCTTGGGGCACATCCTTTTTACTCTCACCCACGTTACTGTCTTCCAAGGGATTGAGATTCCAATATCAGTTAGTCAGATCCCTTTGTTATCTCCCTTTTGGATGTGCTCCTCCCATTTCTGCCCATGTTTGCAACACCTCTTTCCACACTGGGCATTGAGTATATCTGGTACAGAAGTGGTGCAGTCTCCCATGTAGGATCCCCTACTATGAGGATCTTCCCTGTTCGGGTGTTCTTCAGACATTTTGAAAGATGCTTCTTTCCTTCCCTCCACCTATTCAATGTGAGATTCTAGCTATTGATGTGACAGGAAGTAATGTATCGTATCAGAAGTTATGATTTTCCTATACTGAAAATATATTTCCAATAGGTACTTATACTTCCCACCTTTCCTCCCCACTGAAAACTGGTGCTTTCATTTTCTGCCAAAACACAAAGTGATAATTTGGTAGAATCTGTTGAGGGAGTCACATGCATAAGGAGGTTGTGTTGCATTCCTATTGGTGGATGGTTGTTGCATGATGATTTACATATGAGATGTAGTTGAACTATTTTGATCATAGAGTATGTAGGAGCTCAAGGCTTGTGGCATGCAAAAAAAAAATTGCATATAGATGGCAGCACTGAATGATAATAACTATTTATCTGAGATGAGGTAAGTACCTATTGGAAATACATTTACAGTACAGGAAAATTATAACTTCAAAATGTTTTATACTTTCTTTATACTTCTTTTCTACCTCATTGGTTTTACTGTTATAATATTTCTGTACTTCTCCAATCTTGTTGTAATCCCTCTGTATATCTCCAATAGCTTTGTCGATCATTTCTTCAATAATAGTTTTGTTTTGTTCGTAAATCTTCTTTAAATATTAAATCTTTGTTTTAACTTTTTTATGGATTCCTGTATATTACCTCTTGATCTTATATTCATACTTTGTCTCTTTTGGCTTGTTAATTCTGTTTTATTTTCTCCAAAATGATCCCACTGTTCTATTGTTAGGTGGGTTCTTTTGGTAAAATTAATGTATTACTTCACTAACATTTTTCTACATTGATTGGTATGCCTAACTACAGAAATTCCAAACTAATGTACACTTCACTTGCAAAAATTTCCTTAGTAATAGATCAATAATAAACACACTGATTAACTAACTTATTTGATCATTGGTGAAAAGACTCTTTAATTAACGTTGAACTGATTGATTAATTTAACTTGCTCATTTTGGCATTTTTCTATTGTGATAGTTTTCTATATTGTTAGAGAAAGCTTTGAGACTGCACAGAGGCCTAATTTTTTATGAAGCTTCTAAACTTCACACCATCATTATATCATGTAAAATAATAAAACTTAGCCCACAACAGTACTTTGTTTGTTGTAAGACATTGTGAAGATAGATTAAAGCAAGTGTATGATCAACTCTTCCTAAATACATGTGAAATCTTTTCATTTAAGGGTTACTTCCATTGCTGACCGTCTGAATGTGGACTTTGCTCTTATACACAAGGAGAGAAAGAAAGCGAATGAGGTGGCTTCCATGGTTTTGGTTGGAGATGTAAAAGACAAAATTGCCATTTTGGTTGATGACATGGCTGACACGTGTGGTACAATTTGTCATGCAGCCGAAAAGTAAGTAAATGTTTTTAACGGGTTTTTTTTAATTCTTGTAGTATTGTTAGAATTCTTTTTTTTTAATTACTTAACTAAAATAAATCTTTATTTTTAAAGTGCATTTAATGTTTTACATTTTCTAGAATTTTCTATTACATTACATTTTTAAATCTTCATATTCATCATGTAAAGGTACTGTTGTAATGTTTTTTATATTATCTGTCGAAAATAATTTAAGGCCTAGTCCAAGTACTAATCACAAATTAGCTTATTTCCTCCTTTTGCTTCTACACAGTTGTAAGTATTTAAGGTCTATGTTACAAATGATATTCAAATTTATAAGAAATACTAGGACTAATGTTAAAATGAATTTACTTGTACAACTTCACACGTTGATTCAGTTGCACACTATTGTCTTAACTACCTTCTCCGAACTTTTATTTCTAATCTATTCAGGGGTAGATTAAGGGTCAGATTGCCTTGGGCATACATTTTTCTACCTGGGCTTATCATGATTGCGAGTAAAGACTTAATGTTAAAAAAAAACAAATAAACCTTGTAACAGGCGTTTTTTTAGCCCTGACCTGGGGCTACAGCACCAATAGCCCACCTTAATCTGCCCTGAATCTATCTCCTGAAATAAACCTTGTAACAGGCATTTTTTTAGTCCTGACCTGGGGCTACAGCACCAATAGCCCCACCTTAATCTGCCCTGAATCTATCTCCTGAAATAAACCTTGTAACAGGCATTTTTTTAGTCCTGACCTGGGGCT